TAGTGCTCAGATCTTTCTGTCCGTGATTTTTAGGGTTCCGTACCCAAAAGGTAAAGGACCTATTAAGACTCCGATGTCTGACTGTCTATCACCAGGTTGCGTGACAGTAAAACAGTTGAAATTTTTTCAGATGATATATTTCTTTTGACGCTATAAAAAGAAAACACTAAAAACAGAATATAAAAAGAAATGAACTGGGGCTCCCACACAAAAGATATGATTTTTATTGCCTTTTTCAAGCATTATTGTACGGAACCCTTCGTGTGCGAGTCCGACTGGCACTTGGCTGATTTTTTTTTGCAACATCACTCTCCCAGCGAACGCTTGATGTGCATTTGAAAAGGCGACAGTTGGCCAGTGCGAGAGCCATTTCTATTATATTATTCTAAATAATAGACCAAATTAGAGCTTTCTTTCGATTGCGGCGCGGAGTGCCGACGGCCGGACCGACCTGCGGCACAGAAATCAAGAGCCGATGATTGGTCAATATCCTATTATAATGGTATTATCATACGGAGTGCTATCACTTGCCTTCTTTTGTACATAATACGTCTATTGTTTGTACTAAACGACGGCACAATGCGATTAAAGCGGAGTTTCGTTGGCGCGAACGCGATGGGGAACGTCAATAACGGTTTTGAAGCGCGGCCTATCAATCTTCCCGTTCCTTTTTTATATTCGCGGTGAACCCTGACCGGCTGTAGGTCTTAATGAAAGTGGCGCTTAATGAAGATTCCATTTGCTTTGGTAATTCCAATTCGTAGTTTCGAATGGCTTTATGCGGACCGATATCTTTTTTATGTACTTTGTTACTCCTGTCTTCTTTTAATGTGGTTGCTCAGATCGGAGACGATTTGAAAACAGAAAATAAAGAGCCTTTTTACGTACCAGCTTTTATCTCGAATGGTATTCAGTCGATTGCTTGTTAACAGTATATTATCTGATTTATTCATACGTTATGGTAAGTTTAAGTATTCTCCACATATTTTACATTAATTTGTTGTGGCAGCACCTTATTTTGAGCACTTTTATAATTAGTGACTGTCATTTAATTTATACAAACATTCTTTACTATCGTTGCATTATTTTGATTGTATTTTTAATGATATTTCAATAAATAAATGGGATTTGCGGTGAAAATTAATATTTAAGCAACTTGAACTATTCTTGTTATTACAAAAAAATACGACAAATAATCTCTGCCATTATTGTGTTTTTAATGAGCACGCGCACACTTTTCTAGGTAAATTTATGAAATGCTATGACTCACAACTCAGTGGTTTATTATATTATTAATAATTGCTCCGATTTATTCAAAATTATTTAGAGAAGCCAAAATGAAGATCGAAAACTATGCTAATCTATTTATTATATTATGCTAGTCTATTCAAAATGTTCGTATTACAAATCGTTCGATTGAAAGCGACCCTTAAACGAGATCAATGGAATCGTGCCGACTCACTTCGCCCACTTCCCATGACAATTGTCGGCCTGTGTCACTCGCTTTGGACAGGCTTTTAGGGTATAACAATTATTCGGATGTTCGTGCACTCGATGATAGGTTACGAAGCTTATAAAGAATCGCGTTGCTAGCCTGAAAATACCGCTGGCGGCAACCGATTCCGCAACTTGGTTGTGCGTGGCAGAAAGCTACGTAGATACCGGCCAAGTGCGAGTCGGATTCGCGCACGAAGGGTTCTGTACCATTATCTATAAAAATCATGTCTGTTGTATGGGACTGAATATCTTACTGAATGACACCTAAACATTTTTTTATCAGGTTTTTTATTATTGTTGTTGTAGCGGCAACAGAAATACATCATTTGTGAAAATTTCGACCGTCTAACTATCACGCTTCATGAGATCCAGCCTGGTGACAGACGGATAGACAGACTCCGGAATCTTAATAATAGGGTCCCGTTTTACCTAGGGTACGGAACCCTTAAAACGCGCAGTCGCGGACTGCCAACCATCGTAGTAGCTATGGTATTTGGCAGTGTGACGTGTCGTACTCGTTTGTGTATCGTTCTGGAACGGGGTCTGTTGTGCCGCGATGCAAGGTGCCGCCGCCTTCGCGCTAAACGGCTAAACGCGTAAAATATTCATGACACGATAGCCGCTGTCGCCATTACAACTAAACGGTTTGAACGCGCCCGTTTCGATAAGACAACGCACATTTTCTGTACATAGTGTTTTTTTGTCGAATGTTATAGTGGTTTTTTCTTTTTCGCTAATATTAATTTTACTTGTTTTTTTTTTTTACTTAATATGTACGTCTGTACATGTTGATTGTCTATGTTTTGCCAGTGTTGTGTGTTGGTTTGATTAAATGGTTATTATTATTGGGTGGATGGATGTAGGTGGCTCAGGATCGTATTTCGTGGTAGTCTATGGTGGAGGTCTATGTATGTTCAGCAGTGGACTCAAACAGGCTGAAATGATGATGATGATGATTATAGTTATAATTATTGGGGATTTTTTTAATGTGAAAAGTTGCCAAGCGAGCAGACGGTTCTCCTGATGTTAAGTGAATACCGCCGCCCATGGACATCTGGTACAACTGAGGGTTCCAGATGCGTTGACAACCTTTTGAAAATTGGGCTCCGGCTACCTCACTCACCAGACGAAACGCGAAAGTATTATAATTCCATTTTACGCCGGTTTTCTGCGAGGTCGTGGTACTTACCCGGACGAGCCTGCCCATTCGTGAAACAGCCGAGGCTGCTGCGTGGCACTACCACCGTACCACCGTGGGGATATTTATTGTATTTATTATTATTAAGACAAGACTCGTATTGAAACGAAGTTGGAATTGAGCGGATGGATTATTGTTTCCCTATCGTAGTATGCTGAGGCTGTTGTTACCTGTGTCCGATTGGCGGCGTAAAAACTTTCATAAGCGCACTTTTTTTAAACGCACCAGCAAGCCCTTAGGTGTTGTAGATGTCACGTACTTTACAGTAACTTTTCTGTCCACCCTATTACCCAATAGAACGTCGGTTTCATAAAGATAAATAAATACCTACATATTTAATAGTTATTTGTAGGTCATTCAGGTACTTAAGGTATCGAACCCACTACATGCATTCATCCAGTTGAACGATTTATTAATTTTGTTACGTATAAATACACAATATCATTATTGTGATCTGCAAAATATCCTCGGCGTTAATTTTGCCGTGACTCGTTTACAATTTTAATAGAAAACGATCTAGAAAATTCCTTTTAACAAGCAATGTTAGCGCCAAACGTAATCAGCAGTTTACATCGCCGGTTAATTACTAAAGCGTTTATAAATAATTAATAGTAGTTATCGGATTATGTTAATGTCAGTAATCCATTAGTTTATATTAGCGGATATTTGCTTGAATAATATCGACGAATCTAGGAGGTTCTAGTGTCATAAATGCACCGTGGTCTAGATGACAGAGACCCACGGTTTTATCCTGAAACGCGTCGCCACCGGTGGCATCCCATTACCTATCGTAATTGGTCTATTCAATTAATTAATCGATCAGTTTGCTTATTAAAAGGTTACTAAAACTCACACATTTGATAGAAGTACTTAAATACTAAGTTAGCGAATTAACATAAAGTTTTTTTATGTGAGAAGGTGGCAAACGAGCAGGCGGTTCACCTGATGTTAAGTGGTAATTGACAATGACATGTATAACACCTGTACGGTTGCAGAAGCGTTACCATCTTTTAATAAAGTGGGCCCCGGCTACCGCACTCATCAGACGAAACGCAGAAGTTCACACTTCACTTACACTTCACGTCGGTCTCCTTTCAGGCTGTGGTACGTATGCGGTATTCCCCGGACGGACCTGCCCATTCGTGCAACAGCGAAGACTGTTGCGTGGCCCTACCAAAATTAAAATTTAGGAAAAATAAAACGCTTTAGAATTCACTACGACATCGGCGGGCCCAGCATTACATTGTTTTATTGATTACTGCGTGGTTACACTGATCTGTTATTCCATCGTGTTCCCTGTACTTATGACATCAAGTCATAAGTTTACATTCGCGTAAAACAGTTCTAAGTATTGTATATTTACGAGTGCGCGAAAAACCCAAGAAAGGAAATCGCATCGGGATGAGAATTCGACACCGCGGTCGACGCTTCACACCGAAGATTTAGGCAGAAATAATGACTTTATTTTTTTACACTAAGCAATAGGACGGCCGCTATTGTTAATATTGGTACAGTTAAAAAACGGACCAGCGAATTGCATCTGCAATTTGTAGCACTGCGAACTGTAGATAATAGATCAAAGCGGCGCCGAAACGATAACACTGATTACTTAATAGGCAACTGTTATTGTTTTCATAATTGTGGAAAAGTAATTGTTTCGATACTGAACTTTATTAGCAAGACGTGAATAGCTTGTAGGAGTCGGTAAGGATTGTAAAGCCCGTTTTGACCATCGATCCCTAAGTTTAAGGGTCACGGTTAAGACTTTAGGTATAACTTAAGCGGTGGTGAAAATGTGTACTGCCACACTACGCCGTGCTGTGGGTTCAAACCTCATATAGTACAATTCGCATGCGCGATACGTTACTATCTCGAGACAATGTGTTAATTGTATGCGTGACTTTTATGATTGTGAAAGCTCCTAAAGCTTTCAGGTAGAGGAATATTTCCCAGTGCTGGGAAAAAAGATTCCGTGTTGGGAAAAAAGATAAAACGTATAATAACTAAAAGTTTTCACTGGAGTGGCTGCCATAATACCAGTACAATCAATGTAGTTCTGTACATTAATTGTGAATAGACACTTTTGATAAATTAGATGCATAACCGATATTAATACAGACGCTGAATTTTCTAGAATTTATCCAAATTAATTATCGAAAAAATTTAATCACACTTCGCCGAGGCTTGTAGCGTCTTAGTACTATACTAAGCTAAGCTAGTACTATACTATATAAAGCGATTATACCAGTACTATACTAAGCCTAAAGCGCTACGAGACGAGTGCAAAGGTAACAAAAGCAGTAGGATGAAAGGAAAAAAAACTCGGTCGGCACATGAAACGCAGCGCAGAGACGGCGGTGCACTCGCCGAAACAAAGGCGCCTCGTAAAAGCGATCTATTCGGGGAAGAGAGATTTTGCACAAGTTGCGGACGCGCCGCGAATTGCGGGCGAGTGCAGAGTTTAGGTTTAATGACCACCGTAAACGGCAACGGTTATGTAATTAACTCTGAAAACCCCCGCGCTGTACGCTCACTCATTGTCTATGCGAAACGCTTTAAAAACTCTCTGGTAGTGGAATGCGGGGCTCGCGATACGTACAATTGTAACTGCGAATTTTTTAAGGAATTGTGAAAGAAGGTGATTAAGTTACTTTAAAAGAATGCATATAGTTAAATTGGATGTAGAAAAACGGTGACTTGTTTTACAGTTTTAAATTAGGCGCCGTTAAAAATATGCAGTCGAGTTATTTGCACAGATTTCTTAGTTTAACATAGTTGACAATTTGGTGAAAATCAAAGTCAATTTTTTTAGTATGAACAACAAATATATATGCGTTTATAATTCCACAGGTACTTGGTATATTTATATGTACGAGTATGTTTAGGATAAGGCAAGTAAAATGAAGTAAAAGTTATAATTTATAGCACTTCTGTTCCATAGAAATTGAAAAGGTAGAAAAATATTTAAAAGTTGGTATGAGCTTAGTTATAGTTTTTCTTTTGTCGGATACAAACCCATAGTGCCGAAACCTAGTTTATTAAATGTGCTAATATAACTAAGATTTGAGCATGATTTAACTGAACATCCGGGTATAGGATTCGAAACGGAGCAAGCAGTGGAGTTAACGATTAGAGTAATTACGTTTAACAAACACGATACGAAACTCCTTTTCTCCAGAATCAAGAATGACAATCTCAGATGACAATGTTCAGTCACCCAGAAAGACCCGTTATATCCGTATTGTTTTGTTACTCGAATAAATAACAAATTGGAAAAAGTCGGGTATTAAACGATGAGTTCTGTCTCCTCTAAAAAGCGTTGACATCGCAGAATGGAAAGTGGGTACAAAGTTGGGGAGTCGTAGCTCGCTTGCTAGTTAACAGATAGTCAATAACGTCTACAATCAAACGCCTAGACAACGCATGTGTAATTAGTGCAGCAGCCATTAACCGGGCATAAACAAAAAATGCTCTCCGACCGAAAGGCGTCGACAGCGCAAATTAGAAGGTGAGAATCGAAATGGATTATAGTCAATAGCCATTTCACGATGAAAAAGTTACGCCACGATCCAGCGCGGTAGGCACGGCTTCGGAGCGGCACGCAGCGCGCACGCGTGTCTCGCTTACAAACGATTGGCGGGCGCCGCCACGCCTCGCCCGCTACACTCATGTAGATCAATTATTTATGTCGTCCGTATAACGCCGACGGCGGGGATTTTTATGACGAAACTAGGCGTCGCCGGCGGCTTCGCTCGGATCGTCGCGCGGCTAAAACGGAGGACCTAGAACCTATCCCCAAGGAACCCTGCCTGTATTATATTATTTATGAAAAAAGTAATGTACGTCACTCTACTGGATACAAAATATCTGTGTGCAATAAAATGATCTCGGACATTGCCTCTATTGGTGCGTGAAAGAAGGACAAAGAAATACCATTTTGAACTGAAGACATTGAAGCTAACTGCACTAATATGCTAAAAGTCTCTCCCAGTCCTGCCTTGAAACTATGTGCAATAAATATACTAGTATATAATATACCAGACAAAAGAAAATTTGCCACTGAAAACTTTCTGTGAGTTCTCTTTAATGATATTGCAAAGTCATGGTACGGCATTCAATAGTTCTATTCAGAGGCTTCCCTTCATGAATCTTGCATGCTTATACTACTTATGTATTAATTGCGTGGAGTTTAAACTCAACAAAAAATATTCTTCTTCCATTCACCTCCGATTTTCTCACTCAACGCTGCGAACAAACCGAAGGAACAGGAAACATGGAGATCGACATGGAAAAAGAGACAACCCGTCGACGCCATCCGGCATTGGCAGGCATTAGATACATCACTAAACATTAAATTGGGCCCTCAATTCAGATCAGACAGTGCCGGCATATTTCATAGTCAACGAGCGGTCGACAGATCAATATGGATGAGTTGTTGGCACATTCATACGTCAGCGGATGGGAAGCATGCCGCGCGTAATGGTGCGGCATAACAGTTTGTAACGTTCGTTTCTTGTTACGCGTGAAATTGTATATTTAAAAAAAAACAATTTGAAAATAAAAAAGAGCAACAATTTTTATTTCAAATAAATTCAATTTCGAATCCTGATTTTGTGGGTTTTGAGACTAACGTTAAGTCTTAAGTTAGATCTCAACAGGCAGTTTATATAAAATCAGATTGGTATTTGTTTAATAACATCAACTTTTACTCTGGCACTCAGGCTAGTGGGTATGTCATTCGCCATTTGGATAAGAGCTGACAGTTGGTTTTGTTCTTTTATCTTTTTTTTTTAAAACAATGACCTTACTTATGATGGATAACATTATTTTGTGTCGTAAGGAAGTTTAACAAAAACAAATTTCTCGTGAACAAACCCAGATGCGAAACAACTGTCTGTGGGTCACACAAATAGTTGTTCCGTGTGGATATCGATCCCACGACCCCGACGCCGAATACCTTGGTAACTGCGCCGCGGAGTCATTGCTTAGTTCAACACTAAATAAAGATAAAAGTTTGCGGTGACTAACATAAAAGTATATAGTTTTCCTAAGCTTGTTATCTTGCTTTTTACTCACGAATGGATAGAGTAGCCGTCTGCAGACGTACGCACATAGACGGCCTTGTGTCCGTTAGCATTTCCATCCGGAGCGACCTTCACGCTTAATAGTATAGCATCAAATTCCTATTACGTGCAATACAGTCGCTTAACATACCGGAGGCATAAATTTTAAAGTTTTTTATAGTGATAATCTCTGTACTCTACATGTATTAATACCGCAGGCAGATAATGGGTTGAAACATCATATAAACTGCTACCGTGTGAGTTTTAGCAACTTAGGAAGTATGTAAAAGGACTATTCTGAGAGAGAGTTAGAAAGGGTGGTGCCGGGGAGTAACTGCGAGGTAAGTCACCTCTTGGCCAGCTCTTAATGGTAAGTGGCGTTGCAGCCGTTAATGGTAAGCGCGCTAGGTCAGTTAAAACCTATTCATTCTTGCTTTGAAGACGCCTACATTGTAATCGGACGGAAAGACGGACGCCCGCAGGTCACGATCCAATATGTACACATTATTTTCTTCAATATTTTACAAACGTTACGACGTAAAGACGTTTCCCAAAAATCCATCGAACAGAGGATAACGTTATCTTGTGTAATTCTAACTTCTTTTAGTTGGGTTTCGAACCTGGGACCTTCAGCTAGTTGGCAACATCGAGTCAGGCGGTCACAAGCACCGTGCACAGTACATGTCAACTATCATTGAGCGCTCATTACGGCGGCGACACCGTGGAAGCCCATCCGGGATGATGCAAATGCAGATTACACGCTCCTTACGGATATACAGCATGTTCCGAAATTGTTGATCGCTTCAATGATGATGTTTTATAATGTTACATAATTGTTTCATTTATGTGAATTTAAGTAGGGGTTGCGTAGAAGTATTGCACTTGTTTCCTATAGTGAGTGTAACGAATTCGTAACTTGTCTGGTGTCGTAGATATCTTTAGGCTGCGGTGATTATTCTCTATTCTAAATTAAAGATCTGAAGCTTGGTTTCTCCAATTATGCCTTTGTTCACGTGCAACGTCTGAATATCTGATGAAAAGGTACTCCTTTACAAAAGTATTAGATTTTCGTAAGACCGCGACCAAACAATGGTTCTTATACCAGAGATCACAATTTTGGTATGTATTGGTGTATTGAAGATATTCACCATTTGATTACAAATAAATTGAAAGCGTTATCGATCTTAAAATCGAGGAGAACTTGTTTCAAATATTTTAGGATAAATCCTCGAGTTGCATGTTATTCTTATTGTACGAAGATTCAAAGCGAGCTGGTGGTTCACATGATGTGAAGTGATAAACCTCGCCCATCTACGTTTGCAACACGGACAACAACGTACACAGTTGCATGGCTCTATCCAGTGTAGTAACGTAGATTATTATATAAAATAAAAATTACCTTACATTCTTTTTTAAACACTGCCAGTGCGTGTTATAAAAAGAGAACACGCTGTATCACGCGAGACACGGTCACGGTGGCCGAGCGCGGAAGTGTGGTAAGCGGACGGTCGCCTCACCGTCCACCGTCCACTGTCCTCAAGGATGGACAAAACTGTGCCAATACGACCTTATATAGTAACGGATACGTTGCCTCTTAATTTTACGGCCCATGTTCTACAGCGCAAGTGCGATTGTGGGTTCGATTTGGGCACTGTGCGAGAATTAGAATGATAAACAGATGATGTTCACGGATATGGGTGTGGGTTCATGTTAAATTTGTGGATGTACTACATCACAGCAGCACAGTACGAAATTATAGAATGGCATGGCAATAACAAGAACTGCGATGACATTCCAGAAGGCGTTTTATTAGTACCTAACTTCAAGATAAGACTGTGATCATACATAAATAAATAAATATCTTAGCACTCATTTCTTACACATCATTGTCTAGTCCCAAACTAAACAAAGCTTGTACAATAGGTTCTATAAACATACTTAAACACTTTTCTAAATAAATACGTATCATAAATTTATAAAAATAATAATTTATAAAAATATTTCTCCAATAGTGGGAATCGAACCCACACCCTCTTGCGCAAGAGGCAGGTTTACTATGTGGAAAGTACGGAAAGTCCTTCAAAAAGTTAACATTATACTTTCTGATGACAATATTCTACAGTATATATATAAATATACATATCTGTAAATATGTAGACCTTATATAGATATTTATGACACGTCATGATTTGATCAAAACAAATCAAGATGTTTTATGCAAGGTCAGGGGTCCCTAACAGATTAAGAGGGGCATACCCAAAGGTATCTCAATCAGAGTTAATCCCGTATCAAAAATTACAATTACTTATTCAAACAGGTTGGGGGTTAGCCGAGTCAAGACTTTCTAGTTTCTAGTGCATCCTACCCAAATGGATGTCTGACCTCTATTGCTACGGCAATAAAAGTCAGATTGCATCCACGCTGTCTAGCGGGACCTTCGTGAACGTTTTGCGTGCGTCTCGCGAAATTCGACTTTATCGGCGGGCGATTGGGTCGGTTATGGCGTGTGCTGCACCCCAGGAGCTTCTAAATGGTTTAAGGTGCACTTTCCGCGCGGGTCACGGGATGAGCCCAACCTTTCACGCGTGGTTCGTTCTACAATGGGCGAGGCTTTCGCCATGTTTTACGGTTTCATTGTAAAGTGAAATTGTGGTACTGGTCGATGTTTCGATAATTCACTGGATTACCAACGCAAAGGTGCTTGTCGCATGTGCAGCGTGTTTAGATATTGTGCAATTTAAATTCTTCTTAGTCGGACACTCTTGGCAGAGCGGTCGCGGCTGTCGATGGGTAGGATTTAATTCTTGACCATTAAAATTATCCCGATTCATTTTATAATTTGCAATTGTTACTATGGACGCTTTTATTTAGAATGTAACGTGTGCAGATCATTTTATAACTATGTCATGTGAGCAGTGTAAGTAGCCTATATCGTAATTAACAATTAAGTACCATTATAATGAGTATAAAATAATAGGTCATCTTTTATTTTTGACTACGCAGATTAGATTAAATATGATAGTGAATGTTTTTATGTAGTAGAGTTATGTAAGAGAATGTTGAATGCAAATTTGTGTATAATTTTTTTATAAAATAAAACAAGAACGTAGCTATATTCTATAGTTGAGTTAAAAGAAAACTCTACAATGGTCGTGCCATTGTAGAACGGCCCCGCAGGCTAGCATTTTGCGGATTTCTCCTCATCTTCTGGCTCGGAACGGTAACATATATTGTAATGCTGTTGCGACGCGGCTGCACAGCTGATTGTATGTTAATCTTTACACCAGCGACCCCTGGCGGATATATTGAGCTAAAGGTGACATAGTTCTGGCGCGGATTGGCTCGACTTAGCTAATTCGATTCGATTCAATGAAATTGCAGTTTTAAGCAAACAGAGATAAGGTTTAGAATCGATTCACGAAGTTGAGGTTTTAAACAAAAGTGAGTGATGTGCGAAATTTATGTGGAACTTTATAAAGCGGAAAGGTAACCATAATCAATCAGAGTTGTTCGCGACGTTGTAACGGTCGCCTATAATGGGGATTAATAAAAGATTTTCCAGTCGATTAACATGTCTCAATAACTTCTCAATAATAACAAGATTCAGCGGTCCAATTCGGCGTTAAATTAAAAAGTAAATCCTCCATGCTGCCACGGTGTACAGTAAAAAGTAATGTGGCACTATAAACACTGTTCCTTCAATAAATAATGCGCCCCGCA